AGCTCAAGTAGTGTAAGTACAAGTTTTTGAAGCAGCTCAGTGTGCCTGTGGCTGTGAGTATGGATATGGTTGTAGGAGCGTGTGGGTATGGACGAGTTTGGGTGAAGGAAAGAGCCAGATGCACATTCAAAGCCAAAGTCACAATCCACTCTCACATCCACATACTGCAGCGAATGACACTGCAAAAATGAATGTTCGTCATTTTGACTGTGATACGTAACAGTTAGTGTTTGATTAGGTCGTATTACAAGTTCTATACTGTTGTTAAAAATTTTATGAACAAATTACTTCAAGACAAATATTCAATTTTACATTGATTTACAGTCATTTGTTCATGTTCTTGTTTTGAAAATTGTTCTCTTCATTCTATAGCTTCTCCTGATCAGATCAGTGTTCCTTTTATAGTCATAAATGGTAAACATCCAACAATATGACTGATTCGATCATTTATTTGAATTCTTGTTTTTCCATATCCGTTTCTTAAACTTCTTTTAATTTTATCTTGAGTTTGATCTATATTTACAGATGATTCATGATATAGAAATTTTAATTGAGTTTTCGTATCACTAGTTGAAAAAATGTTCTGTTTCTGGATATGATTCACCAAGCGACCAAGACAATGTTATTATTCCATCAACAAGAGTAGTTGATGACTATTTCATCAAATACAGGAATCATAATAAGTATCTGAGAAAATAATTTTCCGTGATCAATAATTTAAAAAGGTACATTGGCAATTAGTAAACTGACGGTCAGTTGGTATTCAATCCTTATGAACCTATAAAAACAGCAGTTTTATTAGATTTTATTCCAAATATTAACGAAGACAGACACTTAGGTTAACACATTCGCCACGATATGGCCCACCGGTGGATTATGCTATATTTTAACGAGAGACTGTATAGAAAAAAGCACTTTCTTTTGCTTTTTTCTTAGGCAGGAGGTTAAACATAATGTGTCATCTGTTCTGCCTTCAGTACCTTTTTTGAATCCTTTATTCCATAGCATGATGCTTCTTGTTAAAACAATTAAGACAAAATAATTTATCATAGTCAAAACAGAAGGTTATTACTTTCTTTGCCGCCGCATGGCCCACTTCTCTTGACTGTTTTGCCCTTCCATTCGCATAGTAGCCAGTGCAGCGTCTACCGACATTGCGCGTAGATCCTTCCTTTTCTTCGAGCTTGTGATCAGCGAGTTTGCGCTTCGAACGACTTGCTGATTGTTGTCTCGGACCATGTTTCAGCTTCTCGAATGACCTATCAAGGAGTAAAGATCGTACAAGACTTTCACGAAACTGCAGAATGGTCATGTCGCTTGCGACATAATTTTCCTTGTAAATCAGATAACTATTAACTACTGCAGTTCCAAATATCAATTCAAATGCCACCTTTTTATACCATTTTATTGACCGTCTGAGACATGTATAGTATGTTGATAGTTGATTTGATAAATCACTACCTTGTCTCTCTTCGTCGTAATCGAGAACAACTTGTGACTTCATGATGCGTTCATTTAGTTTATTGGCTTTTCTGGTGTCTCCACCACAGTTGTTAAATGAGATGGTTTTGTAGATATCATCAAAACGTCTCTTTTATCTTTCCACTTGATCGATTTTATGCCGTTTTTACTCTGGAGCCCATAGACTTCACCACGCTTGAGCTTTTTCTGAACAATTTTATGTCTTGATCCAGCACGATTACTTCGCAATGTTCCAACAAACGTTTCGCAAGAGAAATATTGGTAAAGAAGTTGTCAGCTACTAAGGTTCGACAACACCCAACAAGACCATCCGATAAATTCATTACGATCGTTTGAGCATGTAAAAGACTAGCCGTTGGATCTTGCTCACCAGTATAGATCACATAATTCAAGGTGCATCAATTGGTAGCCGCTAACTTGTACGTCTTTACGCCGTACTTGTGTGCTTTTCCAGGAATATATTGTTTGAAGAAAAGTCTGCTTCGCCATGGTGCCATAGTTTCGTCGATAGTAATAACTGAGCCAGACATATATACTGACGAAAATCTGGCTTTCAGTAAATCCAAGAGTGGTTTCAACTTGAACAACCTATCCTAGTTCGAACTTTTATTATCATTGTTTGAAAAATGCCGAAATTTGAGGAGTAATGCAAACTTCTCTCTCGAAATAGCACTTTAAATGATCTCGAACTCATACAATTGACTGCTGCTCCATTAGTGGCTCAGTTTCGACGTTTGTACCAACTCCATCTTGATAATGATTCCAAAGAACTTGAGCATCTCTTCATCAGTGATTGATTTTCATTGATGAAATTTTGACCGTCTGCTAATCTGATGGGTTTGCAAGTACTGTTCCGCGTATCGATTAGTTTCACGAATCATAAGGCCAATAATTTCGTTCATGATGAAATGCCGATAGAATCGATTGTATTATCTTTTGAAGCAGAAGTTACTTCTTCGACGAGTCCCTGATCCTCCAGAATTCTGCATCCGATTCTGATTCTATTACATTCCAGGCACGTGAATCCACTTCATCATCAGTAACTTCTTCGTCGGAAATTTCAGGTTCAAGGTTCATTCTATCAAAAACATCATCCAAAGAGCTCACTTCACTGAGTGAGGTAGTGCTGTCTTCTGTGTCGGTTTCTTCAAACGACATGTAAACTATTCCAAAATTTCGGCTACTTTTATACATAAAAGGACAGAGAGACAAGAACAAGGAAGAAAAGCTGGAAATTTCCTTCTCTTATCTTACGTGTACTATATATAAGATGTAAAAGAACGAAAAACTAACTTGAGGGATTTTTCATATGATCATAAAAAAAATGATACATAGAAGAGAACGATGAATAATCGGTAGAAGATAATGAAAAGGTCACAAAGTGCATTTATTATAAGTTAACCATCGACAGAAATGAATATCTCAAAAAAATTTTCTAAGAAAACTGAATCATTGCGAATGTGTTAAAATATAGTAACATAAAATAAATTGAATTTATGGACGATTTTGTGTGCCGTAGCAGGACGTCCATAAAGAGCGTCCAGATATAGGGTGACGGTGCGTTAAAATATTTTCGTTTTTTTCATACAACTTACAGCGGAATTTTGAAGCTTTGTTTGTTTTTAACAGTATTTTTAAATAGTAAATGCACTGAATGAATGAACCGAATATGAACATGGTATTGAAATAATTGAAGATTATTCTACATGAGCAGATAGTTATTTTCTCGTGTAGTAATATGAACGTTGTTCAGGTTTCGAGTGCTATTTGTATCAAACTTCAGTTTTTCTTTTTACTATTTTCTGCTCATTAAAATAGAATGTATTTAAAAAACAAAGGCTTTGCAATAGGTTATACGTGTATTTTTAATGAAATGTTATTTAAGAAAAAAGAAGCAATATATCTGAACAAGTAGGCTCTTTATAGAACGTTACTTTTTTTTTTACACTGAACGTTAAAGAGGGGACGGGGCGGAGGAAGTCAATGAAACTGGACCGGTCTGGGTAGAGGGATCAAAAATGAGATTTTTGCCAGAACGTCCTCTATGGATGATGCCTAGAGGTTATTGACATCATGTTTTGTAATCTTTTTAGTTCTGATAAAAAAAGATTTACCCATTAGATTCAATATTTTCATCATCATTATTTTTTTATGTTTCTAATTCAATTTTCTTCTACTTGAAACTCCATTATATATTTTGTTGAACATGTTCGCATACATCGTTAAAACTTAGGATGAACTCATGTGTGTCTATTTGTTTTCAAAGGTTTGTTTGATTGAATTGTACATGTATTTTATATTCACAAAATAGTCCACATACACCAATAAATAAAGTATTATGACAGCATTTTTTTTTATTTGAATATACCGTTAGGCATGACTGTTGGGATTAGAAGGAAAATCTTCATCTACATAATATGACTGTAGAATAATACAACAATGGCTAAATTACAGAATAATAAGACAATGATGATCGGCATATTCGATCATTGACCAAGAGGCGTTGTTTGAGGAAAAACGTAAATATCAATAGGAAATACTTTCAATTATTTTGCGTCGTTAACTACTTATTGTATAGTTTTTATTTCATTTTTTTTTATGAATGACCGAATGATTATATATGCTATATATGTGAGTATTTTTACCGAATAATATGTGAGCGTACCTGTACTTGTAGAAGCAAATGGGGACATATGGTTAATGCTAAAATATGGTTTCATAATTCATTTTGTATAAAAATATTCACTTTTTCATTCTACGCGTTCTAAGCTGTGTTACAGGTTTTTGTTAAAAACCTATCGTAGCAACTAAATTCGGTGTCAGATTAAATTTCAATTATTTTTTTTTCTCCTGATAATTCGGCAACTATAAATTTTAGCACAGTTTGAAACGTAGACGACGAAAATCGTAATCTATGTTTTAATATTCAAAGGGTTTTCTTAAAATAGAAAGGCATTTGAAGCAAATTCGATTTAATGAATTTACAAAATGTCGCCGATTCTTTGAATAGGAATCAGGGTCTCTGATATGGCGTAAACTTCTTACACGATGTTTCAAGGTTTCATTCTTTATTGTGTATCGAATTCAATCGGTTTTTGATCAAAGAAGTCGACTGCTTTCCACAATATGGCAGAAGACAAGGACTAAATTCAATTTAAAACAAGTTCTGACCTTCAAAAAGTTCAGATTTCGAAGCTAGTACGATGACTAAAGGGTTCATTTTTTTGTTTAAATTGAACATTATTTGACTATGCATATTGAGGCACAATTAACTGCGTACAATACAGTGGCAAAATCACCGAGGAGGGAAGTCCAGGGGAAAGTGAATCTTTCCACTGAGAGACCAAACAAAGTCACTTTGAATCTCCGTCTGTTCAATTCCCAGCTCTGTCAATAATCAATATCTGATATTTTCTATTTTATGTTCTTTTATTGTGGCTTACAGTGCCAACAGCTTTTTTTTCAAAATGATCTTCCTATTCACAGACTTTATTTGGTCTTTGCTTTCTACCGATGATTTAGCATAACGATAAATAAATCAAATATTTTCCTGTGACATTATCTTGTTCGATGTTGTCTACGAAAAAGTTTCTGCTTGCCCGGATAAGTACCTCTTCTTCATCTGGATAAAGAGATAACGACGATATGTCCATGCCGGAATATCGATATTTGGCCGATTTAGCAAGACTAATAATAAATAGCGTGTTACCAAATGTTTCAGCTTTCTTTCGATTCTTGCTAGTCGATGAGAAAGCATCCCAAGTTTTAACGAGACCAATAGCTTGTCTGTATGATTCAATAGTATCTTTGTCGAGTTGAGCACCGCGATAAAGTTTACCAGCATAGCCTAGACTGAGAAATGTTGACGAACAATCACAATGAAAAAGTAGCCAACAGAATGCACCAAGATTGTACAATTTCGATAAGTCATTCTCGCGCAATGTTGCATTCACTAGGCGATAAAGAAAACTCTCACGAGTATAGATCGAAACGACACGCTTTTCGATTTCTTCGTTCGATTTGTTCTTAAGTAATAGAAGTTCGTCGGCTATCCATTTAGCTTCAATTGGTTCACACAATTGAATGCCTTCTTTGATAATACCATCTGCTGCTTGTTCTAACAATTCATTCATTGATAGACCTCGATTTTGTCTCTGCCATTCGTTGATGAATCGACGATCATTCGATTTCCAATCACTGAACGATTTGACGAGTTTTTGAGGTATATAGAAACGTTCTGGACGAAGACCAATATAGTCGGACGAAAGGCCAACACACCGTTTGATTGGCATTCGAAAAGAAGAGTCTTCTTTATTGATTCGAACATTTTCCTCCAAATTGACTAAGCAACGATCGAGTTGCACTTGTTGCTCGTGATTCATAAAGGCTTTTTCAATAATTTCTTTTTCAATGTCACCAAATGGTAACCAAGAAGAATCGGACGCATTTTCAATTTTATAGAACCATGTGACTCGTTCGTTTGTTGAAACATTGGATTTAGCAACAGTCGTAGTTGATAATGATCGATAGTGAGCAACGAACTTGGTTGAATTTTGTTTCAAACATTTTTTCTCCATCGCAGAATGTTTACAAGTAACTTTTTCTTATGCAGTATCGGTCCACGTGAGAGACGACAAAAACAAATTGCGAGTTGAGCTCGCCATAATAATTTTCTTTTCTTCAACTGGCAACGAATCAGAATATTTTCTTCCGTGTTTTACACTGTTGAGAAAGAAACCTTTTCAAGGTCGAGCAGGAAAGAACGTAAATGTTTATGAATACTGAGTAGAGTTTTGTGTTTTTAAGATGTTTCTCATATGTGAGAAAATCACTAGAATATTATTGTCTATCAAATCAGACTAGTCCTAGTCTATCTGTTCCAATTCTGAAATTAATTTTTTTTTTCGATTAAGTCGACTTTTCTTTCTTTAATTTGTGAGCTAAGCATTTATTAATTAGATTTGAATAGAGTGTGCGGATGTGAGTGTGAGCGAATACAGATAATAAGATCACCCGCACCCTCATTTCTAATTAGATGCTCCTTTAATGAATTTTTTACACCAGTTTGTAAGACTGTAACAACTTGTTGTTCAGTAATGAATTGTCGAGCTTGTCTATATTTTCGAATAACATTTTCATAAAATGATGTAACCGATTGATTTTCTTCTTGATGAATGTGAAAAATTCTTGCATTAATTGACTGTCAGGTGTAAATTCTTTGAATCGATCTCGTAATGGTTTTTCAGCATCGTTCCAATTAGTGAATGATCTTAAATTTTCTTGATACTCTTGTAATGCTGATCCTGTTAATTTGCCCATTGTTTCGAGAATTTTTGTTTCATCTTTGAATTTCATTATTGAAAATAAATTGTTCAAGTCAACTAACCATTCATCGATATCGGTTTCATTAGATTCTCCTAAGAATTCAGTTATTTTCTTTATTGCTTCTTTTTGGCTTGAATGAAGTTGTTGAGTTTCCATTGAATTACTTTCCATTTCTTGCATAAATAACATGTTGTTTGTTTTTCTATTTCGAATTCTTGTCAGTGAATTTGTAATTATTTCGTATGAAAATCGATTAACACCACTTTGTTTGACCGCGTTTCTTGTGCCGGTTGCCATTGTGAAGATGTACTTTGTGTGATGAATATGTTCGTAATTAATTCATACAATTTTAATCTCTCTTTCCGTTAAGAATGAGTTCAATAAGTTGTAAATTACTTCTTCTTCAATGAAGTAATTAGAAGAAGACCGGTCACGATCCCAAATGTTAGCTCGTATCCGACGAGCTTTAACTTCGTTTATTTTATTTATTGTAAAAGGTCCTTAAATCACCGTATATATATATAACATAAGAGAGAGGAAAGAAGAAAAGAAATAACAATAACAATAACGGTGACTAAAGAAGAAAGAGAGAGAGAGAGAGATCTAGGGGAGGATTAGAGATCAATCACCGCTAACAGTCTCGAATTGATTCGATTTCACTTTGAAAGTTTGAATCGGTCTAGAGATACTAAGCCACCTGATGAGACTGATTGAGTATCAGTCGAAACGCGTCGTGGTAGCTTCTACACACCTATACCCACGCCCGCCCATACTTGCCCACACCCTAAATGAGAGGCTCTTTTGAAAGAAAAACACGAGCAGCCTTCTAGTAGAATGACGGAACAAATAGCGTCAAGCTGTTTGAGCAAAATTTTTAAACTTATCTAAAAGTTTGTTAAAAATCTTCTGGCCATTTTCGATCATCATCTGGGTTGAGTGATTGGAAATATCTATCACAAAATGCATCTTCACTTTGTGTGTCTGATGAAAACGCTCGTTTCCATGTTTAACCGATACCCTTCTTACCTGAATCCTCGGTTAATTCGTGAAAAAAGTCTTTCGCATCGATCCACTTGATTAGTTGTTTTCTTCTCTGCTCGTCGGAGGTATTTGGGGGTAGCTCGTCCAATTTTTATAATCGCCGATCTACTAACCATTCATTTATGTACCATTTTTTATCTCCCTCATCTTTAAACTTTTTCATTGGTTGCTGATCTCGTTTTTCGTTTTTTGTTAACTGTTCCGATTTGACAAAATTTCCCAACACGTTCATCACAGCTTTGTCGTCACAACCGAATATTGTTAGATTAATGCCCTTGTTTTCCAAATATTTCCACCCTTCCTCTAGATTGTCACTTGCTGATACTACCACCGAATTCGGCTGCCGTTAACTTGTGGGGCGAATATAAACGTTTCGCATGTCGATCGATTTCGTTAATAAACCATATGAGAAATGTTAGCTCATCGGTTGGGGGTTCGTGTAAAAAACCATCCTTAGGTTGGTCATTATATTTTGCCATTATTTTTTGTCAAAGATCTTATATTGCCTATGATTGGTTCATTACAGTACCAGTGAACATTTCATACAGAAAATCTGCATTGAACAGAAGCCAATTTTCCCACTCACGCGCATCCCAACAGTGATAACAAATGTTGACGTTGCTATATTCCTTTTCTAGTTTTTGACATGCTTTTTCTTCTTTTTTCAATGTACTTTCATCATCATGAAGTGACCGCAAGTCCGCATCAAGCAGTAGAAAAATGTGGAGTTTCACACCATCCGGTTGAAATCGGCCGCCTGTATGTTTGTATGCGCCAGCTTTTTCCATAACTGTTAGCGGTATATGCATTAAATTTGGATTACTTCGACGTATAATTCCACGAAGAAATTCATGATCATTTCGATTTTCTACGAGCAATAGCTTTTAATGTACGCCTAAACGAACAATTTCACCGTGGTCCAATAAACCGAGACCCATCGATTCCATTACATTTAACAGTTGCCCTGCGCATTCCAAGGATTTGACTTCGAATGCATACTCGGAATTCGTCGTTGGAAAAATTCGTCCAATTTCGTCAAGTTTTACTTGCTGCATAATATCGATTGAATGTGTTGTAATCACCATTTGACAAAAGTATTGTGATTGACGATATTCATTTAATTTGCGATGAAGAATGTTAACTAAAAATTTTTGTACATTCGAAAATAGATGTGCATCTGGTTCATCAACGATGATTATACTATGGGGCCGAGCACAGCACAGGAGAATTAGCAATTGAAAACACTGAAATTCATCTTCACTCATTACTTTTGAAGATCCGCTTATCCTACCGCGTGGGAGTCTAGTGACATGAATATCGCACTCTTTTTTATTAAGTCCTGAGTAGAATGTTCTAAGAAAAGCTTTGTCGGATTCGAAGTGACCCCGACCAAAATGAAATTCTGGAAACAGACATTGCATTTCTTTGGAAATTTCGTCTATTTTTGTTGAAACGACTGGATCATTCAGCAATAAATTCTTTATGGTATCGTCAAACACTTTCCGACTATTGAATAGTTCCACGTAGGGAAATAAATCAGCAAGCTGATCGTAATAATGGCGTGGGTGTGGATGTGAGGTACGGGAGTGTGGGGGTGGATGTGGGTGTTGGTGTCGGTGTCAATAAGGAGAAGAAATACCCACACTCACACCCCCACCCCCACATCCTTTCCAAAAGATGGACCGTTGAATTCTTTACAAAAACTATATTACAAGATTCTTCTGACTTGTATTCATGGACTTTTAGAAAATTAAAAAGAAACTATGAATGAAATGTTGCTATGTGCCATTAAATCAGAAGTAAAAAATATTGAATTTTTTTTAAAAAGATTCGTCGTGAAATTCTCTAGAGTAGTTTAAATAAAAGATTCTCTCTACTGATGCTAATTGCTTTAGAGAGAGTAACGAGATGCTCTAATGCCTCACTCATCAGAATTCATTATCTTTCTATATCTAAACAATAATTGTAATTTTTAGGCATCAATAAGATCATTTTATTCATAGTACACTATACAGCAATGAGTTTTGCTAGAATAGACTTGATTCAGATACTACACTTATATTTTCCAAAGAGTCTACGTTATTGTTAGAGTGACAAATTAGAGCATCTTTTAGCTCACTCTAAATCCATTATCACAAGCTGAGAGAATCTTTTACTTTAACTATTGTAGAGAATTTCACGATGTCTCTTTTAGAAAAAGATACAAATTTTTATGATTTATCTTTGCAAAATATCCGATGCTGCAATTATTATGCCTTATCCGAGTTTATGCCATTTTTACTATTCCTTGAATTTTCCAAGCTGTTTTCAATAATTATCAGCTTGAATCTTTTACTATAATGTTGCTTGTAAACAAAGGTCTTAGATTGAACTTTGTGATTATTCTAATTAAATTATCAGCATGTTACTTGCTATTTACTCATTCGATGTATTTCTGTTGTTCCAAGACGAAGTACCTTAATGGAAAGAAAACTTGAATATTAGAAATGAACATTGTAACACATCACTCTTTTTCTCATCTTACTGCTCCATGGAAAAAAAATAGTAGCGTTGGTTTGACAGGGTACACTAGTTGCTTATATTTTGTGATAACCAATGAATGTTTATTTTCAAAATAGTTGTATTCTAATATCTGTTATATATGTGTCATTGAGTTTATCGTTGGGAGAATAGGATAATCTCGCCAAGAGATAATTGATTAGGTAAATTAAATTTATAAAAGATATTTAATTTTGTGTCATCAGCATCAAAGATAAAACAAGCAAAAACTCTGCATCGTCATTTATTAAACAATATAGTTGTTGCCTTAAGAATCAATTTACTTTTGCAAAACGCCCATCAATACAATTATTACTGTTTCAACGTTCGTACTCTAGATATCTACAATGACTTCCAGCCGTCTTTAATTGAGAGTGCAGTGAAATTCTGCCATCATCATTGCCATGTCTTCTTTATTTATGATATTTTGCCCTGAACTAATCTGCTTTACTTTTTATTGAATAACCTAGATACTGACATAGCGTTTTTTAATATAGCGGCGCATTTTTTACTTCATCTTTAATAGGTTAAAAAGCCATTAAGATAGAAAAAGAGCAGATTTACATAAAAACTAAAGATCATTATCACTGAAGAGCAAATTAGAAGATTAATTAATATAAGAAGCCATCCAATGCATCTTTGCTTTTTACCATCGGAGAAATTATCTTTTGGT